CTGTAGGGTAGCGTTGGTCGGGGACTTGGGGCACGTGGGCATCAGTAATGGGAACCCCAGTGAGCTGCAGAAGAAGGGGCCAGGGCAGTCTTCGCAGGGGCAAGCAGGGCTTGCGGGTGTCAGGTAGATGTTGGTTTGGGCAGAAACTTCATTCTGCAGCCCAGTGCCAGGCTGGGCCCTTGGTCAGTGTCCTGGACTCGCACTGGGGGTGTGACTGTGTGTGCACATGGAAATTGTTCCACGCTTTCCTTTCTTTTTTTTTTTTTAAGTTTATTTATTTAGTTTTGAGAGAACTAAAATGCTCGTGAGTGGGGGAGGGGCAGAGGAAGAGAGAGGATCCCAAGCAGCGTCAGCGCAGAGCCCGACACGAGGCTTGAACCCACCAACTGTGAGATCATGACCTGAGCCGAAATCAGCAGTTGGATGCTTAACCAACTGAGCCACCCAGGTACCCTCAAATAGTGTTTTATGTGTGAATTGATCCTGCATGGAGTTAGAACCATCCCCTCCCTCATTCTGAACACTATACTCCTTTTAATACATCCAGAGCTCAGATTTGCATTTTGACCAGTCGCATCATACTGTCGCTTACAGTAAGTTAGCAGTCAAGTAAAACATCTAATTCATTCACAAGGGGTGATTTGAATCCTGCTTCCCCTGTGCCAGAGAGTTAGATCTAAATATAGGAAATCTCTTTTAAACCTACTGGGTTGCATATTGGGAAATTTAACCCATTTTTCTAGTCTGTGGAAAGCATTTGGATTCTGATTCTGTGTCCCTGATGTGGAGGACCGTGTCTAGAATGGGGATTGCGACTCAGAGGCTGAGCTACAGAGCTTCATCACAGTCTGGTTCTCAGCTCACCACTCACTGGCGGAGTGGCCCCGGGCAATCTACTTGGCCGTGGTCTCATGTGTGAAATGGAGATGGTTAATACTAATACTCACCTACTTGGAGGCTGTAGAGTTAGGAGATTTTAATGAGATGATTAATACAAAATGCTTATCATTAGCACAGGCCTGATAGCAAACACTCATTAGCTGTCATTATCTTGATGATTATAGCCACTGCTATTGCTGGTTCTTCTTCCTCCTTTTAAAAATGGCTGTCTCTCACGCCAAACCCTCCTGGCCTTGTCCTCGGTTTATAGACCTCAGCCTGAGACAGACTGCCTCTGCTCCCCACCTACCTGTCGGTACTCAAAACTACTGCAGCATCTTTTTTTTAAGTTTATTTTTGAGAGAGAGCACACAAGGGAGGGAGAGAGAGGAGGGGGAGGGGCCGAGAGAAAGGGAGAGAGAGAATCCCAACCAGGCTTCACATGACCAACACAGAGCCTGACACAGGGCTTGAACCCACAAACCATGAGATCATGACCTGAGCCGAAATCAAGAGTCAGGCTCCCGACCTACTGTGCTGTCCAGCCCAGGCACCCCCTCTGCAGCATCTTTGACGCTTTGCCTGCTGTGTCCCCTGTACCCGGAGCTCCTGTGGGCCAGTCCTACTGAATTTGACTTTAGAGCCCACCTTCCATTGGGCTCTTTGTATTTTAATTTCTATCATTTTGACTGAGGCTTTACTCCTTCCTTTCCCTGTTGTCACTCGCTTCCTCCTGCATCTCCCTACCTCCAGGCTGCTGCTGCTTCTGCTTGTGGCTGTCACACTCATGCTGGTCCTTCTTTCAGGCTCAGAAGCACCCAGCACCACCTCCCTCTCTGGCTCCATTCCCCTCCCCACCTTGCCTCCATTCTGCCCTCCAGCCACACAGTTCCGGCCCGCTGCCTGTCCTCTGTGACCCTGACCTAGACAGCCCCTGAGCAGTCCAGACCTGTCATGATGGCTCAGGGCTGGGATCCAGCTGACCAAGACTGGAACTGAATAGAATGACCTCGGGCAAGCTGCTTGGCCTTCCTGTGCGACAGTCATAGGTGCCCCTGAGTTTGAATGAGGCATGCATGAGAGAAGTACGTAAATTGCAGGGATAATTACAGTACCTGGGACAGGTCACCACCTTCTTCCTCTAAGAGGTGTCTTCCAGGAGCACTGTCGTGATTTCCGGGGGCTTCTGCCTCCTGTCAACGTTTAGAGCACAGAACATTTTATGTGCAGCCAACATGCAAACACAGGACCACATGGTATATTATTTTAAGGGAATTTTAAGGTGTGGGGTTTTCTTGTTTTTGCAAGCCAGACTCATAGCGGCCATAAGCTTGGGCAATTGGTCAGTACGGCGTAAAGAAATATTTGTGGGGGCGCCTGGATGGCTCAGTCGGTTAAGTGTCTGACTCTTGGTTTCAGCTCAAGTCGTGACCTCACGGTTTGTGGTTTCAAGCCCTGCATCGACCTCTGTGCTAGCAGTGCGGAGCCTGCTTGGGATTTTCTGTCTGCCTCTCTCTCTGCCCCTGCTTTTAGTCTCTCTCAAATTAAATTAAATTAAATTAAATTAAATTAAATTAAAAAACATTAAAAGACTTAGAAAAAATGTAGGAGTCTACCAGTATAATCCAGGGGCAGGAAAAACCTTAAATACATGTAAAAGCCGTCAAAGTTGAGGTGAGAGTGCTTAACTATGTAATGTAGTCGGGGCGCCTGGGTGGCTCAGTCAGTTGAGCATCAGACTTTGGCTCAGGTCATGATCTTGTGGTCCATGGGGTTTGGGCCCCGGTTCGGGCTCTGTGCTGACAGCTTGGAATCTGGAGCCTGCTTCAGATTCTGTGTCTCCCTCTCTCCCCATTCACCTCCCGCTCGCACTCTGTCTCTGTCTCTCTCAAAAATACATACACATTTTAAAAAGTTAAAAACAAACTATGTAAGGCAGTCAGCAACCCATGACCGCACATAAGGAAATACTCAGAGCTCACTAGCAGTCAGTGAAATACAAAATAGAGTCACAGTGAAATGTCACCATATCCATAAAACCAGCAAAACTGGGGATGATGGGAATGCTTTTGTACATTGTCAGTGGAGATGTGAACCGTTAGGGCCTTTTCAGAATAGAATCTAATCCTGATTAGAAGAAATGCAAGAAAGTTTTCCTCTTTTGACACAGTAGGGAAATCTAAATACCTAACTAACCAATTGATGATATTAAGAAATTATCCTTAAATTCTTTTCATGTTTATTTATTTGTGTGTGTGTGTGTGTGTGTGTGTGTGTGTGTGTGTAAGAGAGAGTGGGGGAAGAAAGAGAGAGAGCAGGGGAGGGGCAGAGAGAGGGAGACAGAGGATCTGAAGTGGGCTCCACGCTGACAGCAGAGAGCCCAGTGTGGGGCTCAAACTCACAACCCTGCAAGACCATGACCTGAGCCAAAGTCAGACACTCAGCCAACTGAGCCACCCAGAAACCCCATCCTTAAAAGTTTTAATTTTTAAATAGTCCTTTTTTTTCCCCTTAACTGGTTCATCCTGAACTATTTGCTAGTGAAATGATATAATGCATATATCATGCAATAATGATATAGTGAAATTCAGATAATCCAGAGATCAAGGACATCAGTGGCACCTGGGAGAAAGCAAGGGTCAGCACACTTAATGGGCAACGGGCACTGGTGAAATCCAGACCACTGCCTGGTTTTTGTGCATAAAGTTTTATTGGAACACAGCTGCACTCATTCAGTTATGTATTTGTTTAGTATCTCTGAGGCTCCTTTTGTGCTCCAACTTCTGCAGAACTGGGGACTTTCAGCAGAGAGCCATGTGGCCTGCAAAGCCTAAAATACCCACTAACTGGCCCTTACAGAAAATGTTTGTGACCCCTTATCCATAAAGAAGCGGGTTTGGCTGCAAGTTCATAAAGGTTGACACTGGGGGCTGTGTGAGCCCTGGTTAGATTAGACTTCATGTTTGTCTATGTTTGGATCTTTCCATAATGGCAAGTGAAAGAAAAAAATCACATTTTAACCCAGTGTATCCCACTCCTGGAAATCTACCCATTGGGAATGAAGGCATCAATATGTACATGTATGTTGACTAAAACGGTTTCCAGTGGTTAAAAAAACGTTTTGATTGCCTGCCAGTGCAGGAATGCCTGTATAAATCGCCCCACTGTCTCTTTAAAGAATGAGCTAGAATTTTACCATGCCACTTGGAGAATTTTTCATGAGATGTTTTCAAGTGAGAAAAGCAAGATGTTGAAAAGTCTGTGCTTGGTGATCCCATTTCTATAGAACAGTGGCAGAATTAACCCCTTCGGCGTGTGTGTGTGTGTGTGTGTGTGTGTGTGTGTGTGATGTGCACCATGTTAGCGTGGCTTAGGGTCAAATGCCAACTATGGAAAAGAAGCACAGCAAAACAGAAAAAGGAAAAAAACCTGCATTTAAGCAGCCTCCGTGATAGGATGCCGTTTATGTCTTTCTGTAAGTCGTATTCGTACATACACACGATTTGCTAAATTCCAAAGGGAGTTAATGATTTTTAACACAACTGGAAAGGAGTGTGTGCTGTTAATGCCTTGTCAGTAAGGAAATAAAAGGGAATCTGGTTAGGATTGGAAGATGCCCAGGAGTGGGAAAACGAGCAATGAGAGTGACCGCCGGCTGGGGAAGTGCTCCATGTAAGGTTCTCGTGGTGAGGGAGGGGCGGCTGGGTGGCCTCTGGGCCGTGGCTGCTCCCTGAGCTCAGCGCCGCTTCCTCCTGCTCCCAGAGAAATAATGTTTCCCTGGGGGATGAAAAGCATCCCTTTGTGCCGGCTTTAATTGCCGTGCTGTTGTGTCAAGGGAATGAGTGGCAGGCGGGCACAGCAGCTGGGCACAGCCAATGCCAGGCAGCAAAGCCCGCTGCCTTAGGACAGCCTGGGCCAGCTGGTCTGGGAACGTTGCCCACCTCTGCTCCCCACGCCCCTGCCCCTCCGACCCGGACCCCGGGCCAGAGGGGTCCTCAGAGCCCTGGGGAGGAATCACTGGAGGGAGAGAAAGGGGTGGGGCGCCTTGGGAGGGTCTCAGATGCCCTAGAAGCTTATTCATCTCAGCCTCCTTTCCCCTCCCCCTCCCTCTTGTTTTTCAGACTGTCAGCATCAATAAGGCCATTAATACGCAGGAAGTGGCTGTAAAGGAAAAACACGCCAGAAATATCCTTTGGATGTTGCTTGGAAGACCAACCCCAAGGCGGGTCAAATTGTGGGGACTGAGGTCAGGGCGAGGCGTCCTTGCTCAGCTGCAGGAAGGGGAACCCCCACCCTGGCCAGGCCTCCTGCAGGGTTTGAGCAGCCTCGGTTGGCAGCAGGTGGCCTTCGAGACCACAGCTCATCAGGGTGAAGGGACCCAAGGACCCTGCCTGCCCAGGACGTGAGCTTCTCAGGACTGCCAAGTCCCTTGACATTACTTTCCTTTGAGAGAGTTTCTCAGGCCACTGGAGTGGTTTTCCACCCTTGTCCTCAAAGCACTTGTGTCCCCTGCACTTGCACACTGGCCACCCCCTTGGGAACATGATCGTCTCCCCTTCTCTGATCAGGAAACCCAAGCCAAAGGTCTCGGCTGCTCTGCCTGCCCTTACGAAAGTGCAGGGGCTTGACCACGGAAATAAGATCCACCTGTGTGAGCCGGTTACCCCCAAAGGCCGCAGGGGAGAAGACAAGGACCTCAAGGCGGATGAGGGAGCTGGTGGCTTAGAGGTTCTCACCAGTCACACATCCCGGCCCACACGGCAAGTTAGAACCTGGGCAACCAGCGTCATGGGTCATGGCTTCAGAGACAAGTGCAGGCAACATTCTGGCTGATGGGCCCCTTGGGATCTGCCCTTGAGGTACAGAGACCAAGAGCTGGAGGGCTGACCCCCAAAGTCCAAAGACAAGGCTGCCGGTGTGTGCAGCTCGGGGCCGGCGGAGGTCGGGCTTCTGTCTGGGACGAACAGCTCCTTGCTGGGCCAGTATGGTGGCTGGGACACAGCCAGTCGGCTCATCTTGAAGCTGTCCTGCCTCAGCCCCTTAAGGGGGCCGAAGAGGCCCCTCGCTGCCAGCGCGATGCCCCACGCTGGTCAGGCCCCCAGGAAGTATTGCTAAGAACATGGACTGCTCTCTACTGGTGGAAAAGCAGCCTGTCTTTGGTGGGAAGACACTTTGGTTGGATTTAGGGCTTTGCTGCAGGATGGGGGGCTCTGGAACTTTGCCCAGGCACCCCAGAAGCCTGGCTCAACAGTGAGCCTAGTGAGACCTTGTAGACCTTGCCCTTTTGAGTCCCCAGAAAGGCACAGTCCCCTGGCTCTACTGAATCAAGAAAAGCCTTCATTATAAGGGGCCCAACTGCTGGCCCCGACCTGCTAGGAATACTGATCAGTCCGATTGAGATAGGACATAAGAGACAGGTTTCAGAAGCCAGTGTACTCCAGATGGGGGCCTTGCAGGGCCACATCACACCCTCCCAGGAAGGCTGCCCGGGGTGACGGAAGGGACACCAGCAGTCTGACATGCTCTGGAGCCACGAGTGAGTCCAGCAGGGCCTCCATGAGCCTTCGTCCCCTCGTCTGTCAAACAAAAGACTTGGCCAGAGAAGATTTGAAAGGTCTAATGTTACAGCTTGAACACTCTGTTAGAATGAGTCTCTCTGCTTCACCATTTCTGAGAGGTGGATAAACGTTGAAAGGGTGACTCCCTACAGTAGGGTTTTAAAGCCTAAAGATATCACACAACCTTTATTCTTTATTGATTTTTTAAAAAGACTGTCAGCTACCCTCCAGAACAAGCAAATAAGCATTTGGAAGTCTGACGTCAGCAATGCGGTTCAGCATCCATTTATCCTTAGGTGTCTAACTGCGCCCCGCCCCCCACCCGTCCACAGCACGGTATCGGCTCCTAGAGGGCTGGAGTTTTACTTTTTTTATATCCCTGAGTGCCTTTTATAGTGCCTGACACGCAGTGGGTGGGTTAAAATGCTTATGAAATCAAAGGACAGAAAGGTCTACTTGCCTCTTTCAAAGTCAAGGTGCCCGGCTAGCTCTCTGCACCTGCTCTGGCTTCTACTTCGTACACCGCTTTCCAGTAACGCCATCGCAGTCTGCCCTGAGAGGGCTTGGGAGCTGCCCACCTCTCCTCTTGGCTTCCGTCTAGCCCGAGGGGGCTGTGCTCTAGGGGAAACTGTGCTTACTGCAGAAACCACTCTAAGACCAAAAGCTGACGTCAGCTTCTTAGACCCAGAAGTCTGTGTTCAAGCTCATCCCCTCTCAAAGTGCAAATTTCAGTCTGGGGAAAGGAACCTTATGATACCTTCCAGCTCAGAAGCGAAACAACGTGTTCTGGATGAGTCATGTCGTTCCCTGACCCGAGGCAAGTCTTTCTGACCTACGTGGCACCTTGCTGCTTACCCAGGCCTTGACAAAGAAGCCTGTAGTTCTGGGGAAAGACCTGCACTTGGGGTTGATGGTGCCTAGGAATTGGGTGTGTGAGGCCTATTAAAACGAACAATTAGGAAGGAAGTCTGGACACCCCCTACTCAGCCCAGCGGGGCTCACGCAGTACAGAGGCCTGGGGCAGCTAATTTAAAATCACACGAGATTGGATGGACGTTTGTTACACAGAAATCGCAGGCAGTCCGTAGGTGCATTTGGCATTGGCCCTTGGGGGGAAGCGGCCCCAGGATTCCTCATACAGAGAATTCAAGGTTTCGGGACATGAATGCAGCCCTGAATGAGGCCAGCCAGGTCTGCAGGAGGGGTGGGGTGTGAGCATCATTTTAGGTGTTGGGGGAAAAGACTTCCAGTTATGGAATGACTAAGTCACAGGCACGGAAAGCGCAGCAGCAGAATATAGTCCGTGGTGTTGTAACTGTGTCGTGTGGTGATGGATTGCAGCCTCGTAACGGTGTCGGACACCTGAAGCAAATGGACCTTGTGTGCCACCTCGACTTCGGTGAAAAAACTAATCACAGAAAAGAACAGAGTGCTTACATGGAGAGGAGTCAGGTGCGGCCTGGAAGAGGGGCCAAGGTGTCCCCAGCAGGGCCCGGGCCCGTAACGAAGAGCTGAAGCATGCCCTCGCTTCCGCATCCTGGATGAGAAAGGACGGTGAGACCGTTATGGGCTGCTAATGTGAGCTGTCACTATTCCCCCAAAAGGTCCCATTGTACCCTCAGCACACCCAGAGGAAGGGCAGAGTCTGTCTCTCCCAGCAAAGCCCTCATTCCAACCGAAGCATCTCCCTGCTAACGGCACACAGGACCACTGCTGGCCCAGAACACACTGGTGCAAATTGGAAAGTGACACCCCTCCCAATCACACTGTCCTCTCTGGGGAAATTGTGCGAGAAAGTGGATTTTATGGGGCACCTGGGAGGCTCTGTTCGTTGAGTGTCTGACTCTTGGTTTCGGCTCAGGTCATGATCTCTCAGTTTTGTGAGTTCGAGCCCCGCATTGGGCTCTGCATTGGCAGCCTCGAGTCTGCTTGGGATTCTCTCTCTCTCTCTCTCTCTCAGTCTCTCTCTTTCTCTCTCTCTCTCTCTCGCTGTCTCTCCCCTGCTTGCACTATCTCTGTCTCTCTCAAAATAAATAAACTTAAAAAAAAAAAAAAAAAGGATTAGAACAAGACCCTGCCTTGGCATCGGCCAGAAAACAGCCAGGAAAAATGTGCAGATCTGCGTCCGGTGCCCCTCCCAGGTAGTGCCACTGTGCCCTGAACAGCTGCACAACCCTCCCCAGTGGCCTGTGGCAGGCTACACCCCTGGGATGGGCTGTCCGAGGCAGGGCCCGTCCGTGTTTTTGTTTTCCATGACCCTCCCTCACCGTGCATCCTGGGCACCCACCATGAGAAAGGGGCACAGACCTTTTGGTCTGTTGTCAACCGGCTGCCCCTCTCTAGCAACGCTGTTCTGTGCTGGAAGTTCTGCCACGTGTTTCACAAACTCCTCCGAGATGGACACCCAAACGTGAGTCCCTGGGGCTGCAGAGGGGTGGCCGGCGAGCCGGGGCCACGTGGGGAAAGTGGGATCGCCTGGGGCACAGGGGGCGCTGTCCACTCCCGCACTGAAGGTGGCAGCTGCCTCCTCCTCCTGGCCTTTTGGTTATTGGTTAGAGGGGGGGCTTTGCTGTCTGGTCAGCCTCCCTGACCACCCCAGCCCCATCTTCTACCATCCTCTGTCCCTGTGCCTTCTCTTCTCTCATTGGCTGATCTCTTCCCTCTCCAGGTCCTGAAGGACTCTCTGAGATACAAAAATGAACTGAGTGACATGAGCAGGATGTGGGTGAGTTTGGAGATGAAGCCGGGGACCACCTGCACCTTCTTACCCCTCCTTCAGAAGCCACAGAACAAGGACTATGGAACGGAATGAATTCATCTGTTTCAACTTGCTTAGGATTTCTCTCATGAGCATCACAGAGGGGTCAAGGATGGCCCCCCAAACAGTACCATGATAGCCGTAGTCTTGCCCGGAGGCCCTGGTGGCTGTAGGGAAATTCTCAGGCCTGAGAGTTTGTCCTGCCAATGGAAACTCATGTCAGAATATACTCCGGTCATTGGGATTCCTCAGCAGTAACTCTCCCAGTTCCTGTGCCTTCCCCCCTCATGGTCCCATGGAGGTCACAGTACGTTGAGGACTAGCATTCCCAATTCTTAATGCCAGGGCCTTTTTTTCCCTGTCTAGGGAGTCTCAGCCCCTAGAATGAGGGTAGGTAGGCGGTGATATCAGCATAAATAGAAAAAGGATTTTACATACGTACTAGAATCCCTCTAGATTGTGTTGTCCAGGAAGTATATATGTGGCCAGGTGTAATCTGCATTTTGAAGCCTCTCCTGGGTTGATACTGATATATCTCGTTGCCCCCCACTGGTTGAGAACTCTAGCCCTTTCCTTCCAATTCTTACCTGCATCTGTCTACACTCACAGAATGTTAGCAATTGTGCCATCCAGTCCACCCATTGCTAGACTGAATATAGGCCCAGAGAGGGAAGCAAATTTTCCTATGTGACAGGCTAGGCCGTCTGAATAAAGTGGAGCCAGCACCTGGGTGGCTCAGTTGGTGAAGCGCTTGACTCTTGATTTCAGATCAGGTCATGATCTCACAGTTTGTCAGTTCAAGCCCTTCATCAGACTCTGCACTGTCAATGCAGAGCCTGCCTGGGATTCTCCCTCTCCCTCTCTCTCTGCCCCTTTCCTACTTGTTCACATGTGCTCACTCTCTCTTTCTCTCAAAATAAATAAATAAACTTTAAAAAAAAATGCTGAGAGCTGTCCCCAGATCTCCCAAGTGCATATTGGAGAGCTTTCTATTATTATATCTCTAAATACAGAAAGTTTGGGTCCTTTTTATTAGAATTTGCTGGTGTGTCTTTTTCCATTCTTTTAAAACTTGACTTTTCTATATTCTGTGTCTTAGAAAAGTCCCTTAAAATTGCATTTCATTGGATTTTTGTTGTTGCTTTTCTTCAAAATGGCAGTCTTTGTCTTTTAACTGTATGTTTACTCCATTTACATTTATTATAATGCACGATGTTTTTAGATTTATATCTTCCATCTTCGTTTGTGCTTCTATTTGCCCCTTCTGTTCTCTTTCTCTTTCTCTTCATTTCTTGTCTTCTTTGGATTGATTGATTTTTTTCTCATTCCATTTTCCCATTCCATTTTCATTACTAGTTATGAGGGTTTTTTTTAACTCTCCTTTTATTTTTCATATTTTTGGTATGTGTACCAATAATTACAAAATACACATTTGGTTTATCAAGAGCTAAAATTCCTGTCTTTATCTGTTTCCTATTAACACAAAGACCTGAGAATATTTTCCCTCCATGCTCTCCTTCTAAGCTTGTCGTGTATTTTAATTTTGGTTTTGTTTTTCTTTTTAGACTCTATAAGATATTTTATTTTAATTGTTTTATTCTGTGCTCTTTCTTTCTCTAAATCTCAGTTAAATCTAACTTTAAATCTTTAAATCTAACATCCAGGATCACTTTTTTTTCTGCCTGAATTATTTCCTTTACAACTTCCTTTAGTGAGAATCTCTTGGTGGCAGATGACCGATTTCACTAGTTTCTAAATGTCTTTATTTCACCCTTCTACATGGAAGATACTTTGTCTGGGTTTAGGATTCTGGGGTGACAGTTATTTTTCCTCAGCACATGGACAATATTATTCAAGATACCCTTCCACTGACTTCTGACTTAATGTGGTTTTCAGGAAGCCAGCTGTCAGACTCATTGTCCCTTTTTTTGAAGCAAATCTGCATTTCCTCTGGCCGTTTTTACGATCTAACCATGTATAGGTACAAGTTTATTTTGGATTCATTAGACTTCTTAAATCTCTGGGTTAGTATCTTTTATCAGTTATGAAAAATTCTCTTTGTCTCTTCAACTATTACCTTCGCTCTGTTCTGTCTTTTCCTCTCAGACTTTGGTTATATCTGTCTTTCTCACTCTATCCCCCTGGGTGTCTTTTTATGTAAGTAAGCTCTACGCCCTATGTGGGCCTTAAACTCATGACCTCAAGATCAAGAGTTGCACACTCTACCAACAGGGCCAGCCAGGCACCCACCACCACCACCACCACCACCACCACCAGTGTCTTTAAACTCATGTTTCATTGTTTTCTACCTGCTTATCTCTTTACTGCATTTTGGATAATTTCAGTAGATCTAGCTTTCATTTTATTTGTCCCTTTTTCAGCTGGGTCTAATCTGTTAAACCTCTTTACATATAATTATAATTTTAGTCTAGTTTTCATTTCTTGGAGTTCTTCTTTTTCCCCCAAATCTGCTTGTCATTTTTTATGATTTCTTGCGCCCTGCATGTATTTTGAAACAGCCTCTTACTTATTTAGACAAATTAAACAGTGACTTCATATATGACTTCTTAGACTTCCATTGTCCAGAGCCCTTTGAGATCTGTTTCTGCCGTCCATTGTTTTTGATGAATGTTGTTCACGCTATGGAGTTTCTTTCTGTGCTTAGTTATTTTTTGCTGTGAGCTGCTCATTTCCCTAGGAATCTTATTTGTGGGAACTCTTTGAAGTCTGTAATGAAGGCAGGTTCCTCCAGAGAGAATGGGCATTCGCTTCCATTGAGATCACTCTAAATTAAATTCTCAGCTTAAGATTTTGTGAATGCCAGGAAGATCCCCTTGAGCTCTGGTTCCTTTGGGTCCACTTCCCAGGAATTGTTTTTCCCTCCTTCTGGTTACAACAGTGGTTTGAGGTCCTCAGGGAGGACTCTTTTGCTGCAAGAGTGCTGGGATCTGTGTTCTATCCAGTTCACCCTTAGTTTTCCTACGCCAGGAAGGCGATCTTTGGCTCTTCCACCAGACTCTTCAACTTCAGCAGGGCTAAGGTCACCACCTGGCCCCTGAGGCCCAGAAAACCAAATTTAGTTCACCTAGTGAGGCAAAACCCCCATCCCCACCAACTCCATCACCCCAGTATTCCATATTTTCTCCTAGTGGCTGTATGGTCCCAGTCCCTGGCCTGAGGACTCCTTACCCTCTCATTAGTTCATTAATGACTTCAAAATATTTTCAATATTTTACCCAGTATTTTAGTAATTTTCAATGGGAAAGTCAGCCCAACGTAGCCTGACTCATTATGCAAACTGGAATTCCTTTAGGCCAGACAAATGTATAATGACACGCATCTATCATGGTGGTATCATGCAGAATAGTTTCACTGACTTAAAAATCCTCTGTGCTGCCCCTGCTCGTCCCTCCCCACCCCCTGCAGCCCCTGGCAACCCCTGGCCTTTGTACTCACTCCACACTTTTGCCTTTTCCAGAATGTCATATCGTTGGAATCCTTTGGTTTGTAGCCTTTTCAGACTAGCTTCTCTCTCTCCGTAACATGCAGTTAAGGTGCCTCCATGTCTTTTCAAAGCTCGACAGCTCATTTCATTTTTAGTGCTCAGTACCAGCCCATTGTCTGAGGGGACCGCAGTTTATCCATTCGCCAACTAAGGCACGTCCTGGTTGCTTCCAAGTTTGGGCAGTTAACAAATAAAGCCGTTCTAAACATCCACGTGCAGGTTTTGTTTGGACTAAGTTTTCAATTCTTTGGATAAAAACCAAGGAGCGCTATTGCTGCGTTGTGTGGTCAAGAGTATGCTTACTTTTGTAAGAAACTGCCACACCATCTTCAAAAGGGGCTGCACTGTTCTGCATTCCCACTCGCACTGAATGAGGGCTCCTGATGCTCCATGTCCCCTCACCGGCACTTGGTGGCTGTCAGTGGTCTGGGTTTTGGCCATTCTTGTCAGCGTGCACTCGCACCTCAATGTTGTTTGAATTTGCGTTTCCTGGTGACGCACAACGTCGAACATCTCTTCGTATATTCATTTGCTCCCTTTTTTGTGGTGAGGTGTTGGTTAAGGTCTTTGGCCATTTTTTTAAGCAGGTCGTTTGTCTTTTTATTGTTGAGTTTTCCTTCTAATTTTTTAAATGTTTATTTATTTTTGAGAGAGAGAGGTAGAACGCAAGCTGGGTAGGGGCAGAGAGAGCAAGAGCACAGAATCCAAAGCAGGCTTCAGGCTCCCAGCTGTCAACAGACAGCCTGACGTGGGGCTCGAACTCACAAACTGTGAGATCATGACTTGAGCTGGAGTCAGATGCTTAACCCACGGAGCCACCCAGGTGCTCCAATTTTTATTGTTGAATTTTAAGAGAACTTTGTATATTCTGGATAACAGTCCTTTATCAGCTGTGTCCCAGTCAGTGGGTTCTTGTTCTCTCAACAGTGATTTTTGCAAACTTTTTTTAAATTTTAATGAAGTCTAACTTGTCAGATATTTCTTCTTCATGGATCGTGATGTTGGTGTTTTAGCTAAAAAGTCGTTGCTGGGGCACCTGAGTGACTCAGTTAGTTAAGTGTCTGACTCTTGGTTTTGGCTCATATCACGATCTCACGGTTTGTGACTTTGAGCCCCCCATTGGGCTTTGCACTGATGGTGCGGGACCTGCTTAGGATTCTCTCTTTCCCTCTCTCTCTCTGCCCCACCCCTGCTCACTCTCTCTGTCAAAATAAATAAATCAACTTAAAAAAATAAAATAAAAAGTCTTTGCCATACCCAAAGTCATCTCTGTTACCTCCTAGGATTTTTTATAGTTTTCCATTTTACATTGAGGTCTGTGATCCATTCATCTTTTGTTTTTTGATCCTGGTGCGTTTTTGTGTGAAATAGAGTTGTCTTCGATGATGAGCATTGTTTCACTTTGTCTTTCTGCTACTTTCTAATTTTTCCATAATGAACAAGTATAATGTACAACTCATAAAATATGATTCTTCATAGAAAACTAATACATTAGCGGTGTCATTTCTGGCATTGATATTTTTAACCTCCTCTGATAACTCAACTCCCTTTGGTGCCCTTTGAGGCATGTTTCAGTGGGGTTCCTCCACCTTAGAGGATATAGATGCACCCAGAAGAAAATGTAGAAGTCAAACCTCATGTGGGAAGTACAACTATTCAGCTCAAGGGTCCTTTGTGCCAGGGCGCCTGGGTGGCTCAGTCGGTTAAGCCTCCAGCTTTGGCTCAGGTCATGATCTCCCAGTTCGTGGGTTCAACCCCATGTCAGGCTCTATGCTGACAGCTCAGAGCCTGGAGCCTGCTTCGGATTCTGTGTCTCCCTCTGTCTCTTTCTCTCTCTGCCCATCCCCTGCTCTCTCACTTGCTCTCTCTTTCTCAAAAGTAAACATTTTAAAAAAAAGTTAAAAATAAAGAATATCCATTTTTAAAAATAGGTCTATTTAAATTAAAAAAGGTTAGATCAAATAACACTTCGTGCCCCAGAATGTTAGCCATGATTATATCTGGTGTCTAGATGAAGGATGATGTGAGTGTATCTGTACTTGTCTGTATTTTCCAAATTTTCCACAATGGCCATTTGTTATTTTTCAGAATTGGGGGGAAAAAAATCAATGTATTGTTTATAGAAGAAGTCCTGACTGTTGGTCTCTCACCCAGGTGTTATGAGTGGTGACCCCTGCTTTCTTTTCTTTTCCGGAAAGGGCCACCTGAGCGAGGGCTATGGACGGCTGTGCAGCACCTACCTCAGACTGCTAAGAACAAAGATGGAATATCACACCAAAGTGAGTCTGCAGACGATTCTGCCGCCACTCTCGGCCCCCACAGCCCCCTGGCACTTCCGTGGGCCTAGCTGTCAGGTCTTTCAGGAATAAGGCAGCCTGGGGCCCCTCAGGGAGTGTTTACACTGTATCCAGTGAGAGGAAGTGACTTTGCAGGACAACTCCCGTCAGGCCCCCAGAATGGGACACGGGACTGGGAGTTTGGCCCACATTTTCCGCCCCTTCTGGAGAGGAGCCCTGTGCCTTCGGAAGGTGTTTCAGAAAGCACTGCCTTGACTGTTACTACAAACAATCCCCTCCCTTCACATAGTGAGTTTCCATACAGAACCTTCTTTTCGCCCATGCACGGCCTTGGACAGTATTTCTTATGCACCTGATGCAGGTAAAACCATTGTGCTTGGTACCAAGTGGCACGTAGGATATGCAGAAAGGGTCTGCCAGTCAGGAGGGCACTGATCGGTCAGAGGGAGGAGGCCTCTGTACCTGCATCACCCTGTAACAGTGCCAGGCGGTCACGTGAGCCTGGGGAAGGAGCCAGAGGCGTTCTGGAATGACACAGGGCTGTGGTGTGGAATGGGAAGGAAGTGGGGGCCGGGGCTGACCTCGGAGGGTGGGTGTGGATGGAGCAGGGGTCAGGAGGAAGGCTGTGGCCGCAGGGAGGAAAGCGGACTTGGATAGGGAGCTGGCGTTGGGCGTGGAGAATGGCGATTTAAGAAGGCGCAACACGGTTTAGTGTCTTTTGCCTCCATTACCTCATGGACTTGGGGGGTGGCTCTGATTCACAGAAACCTCCCTTGTGTGCTGACTTTTCCTGCATTGCCTTTAATCCTTGTTGCCACCAGAGAAAGGTGGCATTCTTACACCATAAGAAAACTGGGGGTACGCTTGAGAATCTTGCCTCGTCACGCAGTTTCTCCGTGGTGAGGTGGGATTTGAACCCATGCCTGTAGGACACGAAATCCCGCACTGCTCAGTGGCCACCCTTCCCTCTGCTTGTGTACTGCCGGCTGCCGGCCTCAGGCTGGAACGGGGTTAGGTTCTGATGAGAGAAAGGTGAAAAGACTTTGGCCCTGCTTCCGGGAGTTGTATTTGCTTGGGAGACAAGACAGCCAAGTCCAGGGAAGACCAGGATGCACAGGGTGGGACAAGAGCTTGTAATGGGGCGTCACGCCCAGACTCCGGCCACTGGGTAGGCTTCCCAGAGGCAGGACACCTGCGCTCACCCCCAACTCCATGGCCGAAACACCAGAGGCCCTTCATTATGTCTCACACTTTATGTTGGTCGGGAGTTCCGGAAGGGTTTGGCTGGGCCATTTTGGCTGCGGGTCCCTCACACGGTCACAGTCTGATGCTGGCTGGATCTGGGACAGTGAGCAGCTGGACTGGCGTCTCCCTCTTCATGAAGTCTCCGCGCTAGTCAGGGCTTCCTTGCAGCCTGGCCAGTTTCCCCGGAGAACAACGTAGAAGCACATGGCGTCTATATGACCAGCCTCGAAGTCATCCCTTCCACTGTCTTGTATTGGCTGAGGCAGTCACAGAGGTCCCTAGATTCTAGGGGATAGGACAGGGGCCACACCAGCCAAGGTAGAATGTCAGCATCGTGTTGTAAAGACAGCATGTTGAACCGGATGTGCTATGACACCGCTGTTGGGATTACAATCTGTCAGTCTGCCCTCTGGTCCCCCAGATCATTCCTCTCCCTCCATCCCTCCCAAGGACCACACTCATGCCCCCCCTAAAGTGTCTCTGTGGAATTGAGGCCCCCTGGATGGAGCGGCCACCCATCTGTCTGTACCTGTCTACACCTTTCCCTTTGCCACACCAGGGAAGAGATAATGATACAGATGTTTGACAAGGTTGCTGATTTGTAGTAATTTCTCCTGACTTTGGGGGAACGTGATGTAATGTTTTCCTACTTTCAAGTTTATTTTACTCATTATGTTTCCCTAAAGCTAATATCCCCCGATACCCTGAACTCCCAACAGCAGCTTCGGAAAGTGGTGGAAGGACAGAGGGAAGCATGGGTAGGATTCAGAACGTACTGAGGGTGTGCGAATGCCGAACTGTGTGCACCTCATGGGCGGTTGAGGACCAATCGCTGTCATGCTGGGTCTCATTGCAGCACCAGAGAGCATCTTTAGAAGAGGGTCCTAGGACCCAAATCGTTAGGACAGAGCCCTGTCCTGGCTCCCAGGGTGCAATGGAGCCTTCGCCTCTGACAATGGGCAGTGGATGTCCTTTGCTATGAGCTGGTCAGGGCGTCTCTGTACGTGAGGCTGTGTGCACTGATGCCCCCCAGGAAGGGCGTTGGTGTTACATGAATAGAATCAAGCCTGCTGCTGCCCGAACTCAGCATAGACGGCTTGCCTGGTGCCGGCTTAGTTGAGGTGCCCTGTCCTGACCTCATTCCTCTGCCTGCCTTCCCAGAATCCCAGGTTCCCGGGCAACCTTCAGATGAGTGACCGGCAGCTGGACGAGGCTGGAGAGAGCGACGTTAACAACTTGTGAGTGGCCGTCCTCGTGCGGTGGACCCAACGGGGAAGGAGGCTCTGTCGATGTTGCCACTTCTGGCTAGGGTCACACAGGGCCCGACAGTGACTGGGGTGGGGCCACTTAGTGCCAATGCCTCATCCAGAACCCTTCCTGGCTGTCCAGGGTTCACTTCCCAGTGTCCCCCTCTGCCCTTCCAACCCAGCCTGGTACCTGCCCTTCCCTTCTGCCACCGTCACTGTGGAATTCACCCTGTTTGATCTTCAGATGGCCTTAAGACCCATGTAGGTGGGCTAGGGATTGGTAGTAGGGTGTGTGTGAGTGTGTGTGTGTGCACGCGCGCATGTGTGCACGCACATGCTCATGTATGCATGCATGTATGTGTGCACTGGGGGCAGAGACAGCAACACAGAGCATGGGGAGGGGACAAGTGAAGCCCTGGCCTTGGGCTCTGGAGTATAAGCTCTCTTTCCTCTTGGGTCCAGTTTCCAGTTAACAGTGGAGATGTTTGACTACCTGGAGTGTGAACTTAACCTCTTCCAAACTGGTGAGTCTCTCCCTCCCGTCTGGCCCAAACTCTGGTGAGAATTGCCTGATTCCAGACTTTCTTCTTGGCTTGGCCCGACCGTCCTAGCCCCTCTCTGTGTTGGACAGCACAGGCCAGGAAATGAGGAGACCTGCACCCTATCCCTGCTCTCTCTGTCCCTAGTGCCGGGAGGGGCTGGAGCTCTTGGATGTTTTTCAGTCTGTGTATTCATTTTGAGCAGATTGACCGTGTTCTCTACCCTGCCAGCCTCCCTCTAGAAGCCCAGGCCTCCAAGAGCCCAAAAATAGGTATGGCCTCTTTGACATCCTCCAGACTGTGGCCCCAGCACTAGCTGGTCCTTTGCCTGCTACTCAGTTGGGCCAACACTCAGGACCAATTTCTGCTCAGGAGTAAAGGCTGCTGTGTGCTGTTTGGTCAGCAGCCGGGGTTGACCAGCTAGTCGAGTTGAGTTGTTGGCCAAGTCCATATACGAAGCGCCTTTCTGCAAGCAGAGGGAGTTGGCCCCACTTCCAGGATCCCTTCGCTGAGAGTTCTAGTGCCTCCAGGCTGTCAGCCCCTCATGCTTCCTTGGCAAGAAATCAGGAAGGAAGCAATCCATTCCCTTCTGTCTGGTGTCCCCTCTTCCCCACACCTCCCAGCATGGCTCTCCCTTCTTTCCTGGGGAACAGAAGAGCCCATTTTCTAAGATTCACCATGCGCCATTACAAGTGTCCAGCTCCGACAAAGAGTGGATTCCAAACTACAGGTATTCGTGTAAAAGCTTGGTGACCTTCTCAGCATCTGGATGTGTGGGGCCACTCCTGGGGCTCTGATTTTCTCAGGAAAAAACAGACACTCTCTCACCCTGAATTGTGACTTCCTTCCGCACATTCGTGTGTACAGTTTACAGCTGGCCTGTTACCAGCCAGCGCTCTCCCGGGACAGCAGACTCCTTCCTACTTTGGCCAGTCAGTTCAGGGCAGGCTATGGTGAGAACAGCACCACACACAGTTGGAAACTGTGGTTTGTAGAAGTAAAGCGCTTGGCCTGCTAGCAACCTGCTCATACGAAAGTCAGTAGAGGAGTAAAAATGAAACACAAAACAGAGTCCCCGCCCTAAAGCGTTCCCAGCCAGGTAGGAGAAATGGCGTGGGTACATTTTTTTGAATGCATCAGAAATGTTCGCACAAAAATATACGAACAACTATACACAGTCGTGGCTGACTTTCAGTTATTAGTGTCAGGTAGGAAGGGCCCGTGTGGATAATTTAGAACGCGTTGACATTCAGCTTCAGAATATGCTTAATCTGAATGCAGGTAGGAGTGATATTTCAGGGATTGTCATCCTTGGGTGGGGGGTGGGGGTTCCCTGTCCAGAACCTGCCACTGGGCTGACCCGTGGCCTCTGCCGGGTTTCCTCAGAGCACACCTGCCACTGCTGCAGGGGTTACTGGAGAGCAAGTCAACTGTTTGAGCCTCTGTGGGGGTCGCTTCCAGCCCTGAAAGACTGTTGAGCAAGAGAGAGCAGACCTGTGATAACACTGAGCAGGACCTGAGGCTGGGAAAATAAGTGTGTGATGCCGGCCAATGCACCACACCAGGTGGCCAGCTCGGTCTCTCCTTAGTCCCACACCCCATGACAACCTGGCTTTTTTTTTTGCATGCCTTTGTCACTTGTATGATTACCACTGGACTCCGAGCTCCTCCTCAGAACCAGGAGCCACGCCCCACTCATCTTTGAATCATTTCCCTTCTGTACTAGTTCAGTGCCGGGAATAGATAGCAGGTGCTCAACAAAATTCAAGAATGCTTGCTTCAGATAAAGCAGTGAGTAAAGGGTAGGGGAACAGAGTTGATAAAATGGTGCCAAAGATGCAGCCCGATGTGGTGGGATTATCTTGAGTGAATTAGCCGCTTTGAGTTTTCTAGAGGGGAGCCTAGATCTTGGCACAGATCCCTCCGTGGCTGAATGCTGGTAGCTTTCTTGCCCCTGAGTGAGCATTGATTTGGAATCAAGAGCCCTTGACCACTCGTCTCTTCCATTCCCCATGCCATCCCTAGTTACCTGGGGCGTGCCATAAACACCCAGAGGGACTGGTATTAGAAGAAGTCTCTCCAGCTTCTGAGTCCTAGTCTGTAACCCTGCAGGATCCCGAGTGGTACCCTCAGAAATGTGCCCCTGCTTTTCAGCGGTGGGAAACATGGGCCAGTTATAGTTAACATTTCCCTCCAGCATTTGCAGTGGTTCTCAGAGTGTGGGCCCTGGACCAGCAGCAGCAGCTCCTGAGAACTTGTTAGAAACGCAACCCCTGCCCCCCAGGTCCCACCCTAGACCTACTGAATCCGAATCTCTGAGGGTGGGGCCCAGCCATCTGTGTTTTTCAGCCCCCTACCACCACATCTGCACTGTCCAATACGGCAGCCACTAGCCACGAGTGCCTATTTAAATCAACTATAATTAAATACCAATAAAAAGTCCTGGCCCCTGTTCCACTTGCCATATTTCAGGCACTCAGTAGGCACATGTGGCTCATGTGGACACTTCCATCATCACAGAATTCTGTTGGATGATGCTACCTTGTGATTCTGCTACATGAGGACCACTCAGCTGGGAAATACAGTTTTCAACCCTGGCTGCATAATAGAATCGCCTGGGTGGCTTTTGAAACCTATCAGCACCCCAACCCAACCCAGACCAATTAAAACAGAATGGGGGGGGCTGCAGGCAAACATTAGCAGGTTTTACATTTCCCCCAAGTGATTCTAATCAACCTGAAAGCCAACTCCTTGAAGACCTTTTTGAGGTAGGTGGTGTTTGAATGTCTGCATTTTACAGAAAAGCATCTGGAGGCACAGAGGGGTTGAGGAACTTGTCCATGGTCACACTGCTCTAGATGTTACCGGATGTCCAGGGGCATTCCTGGAAATCTGCAGGCAGGCTAGGAGATGGAGCAGTCTGTGATTCTTTGCCAGAGTGGAGCCCAAGGAAGCCAGTGGACTTGAGGATGGGCGCCTTGCAGTGACAGCTGCTTTTAATTTGTGTCAAAAAGAAAAGCTGTCTTTTAATTAGAACTGCTGGGTTGTTTTTTGGTTTTTGTTTTGTTTTCAGCTGCCAGAATAAGCCAGTTAACAGGGATTAGCAGTCAGGGAAGCCCAATACAGCAGCTCTGGGCTTTCCCCCGGGGCAGCCCCGCTCACTGCTTGTTTTTTCATGGCTAGCCATCGTGCAGCGTGGAGTCTCTGAAGGCGGTGGGCAGCCACTGCGGGAGGCGAGTTCGGCCCTGGCCATGGGTGTGGGCGGAGGGTTTACGGCCAGGAGTCTGGTTACTTTAAGAACAAGGGGGTAGGGGAAAGCCCAGGCGGCTCAGTCAGTTGAGCATCCGACTCTTGATTTTGGCTTGAGTCACGATCTCCTGGTTTATGATATCGAGCCCTAAATCAGGCTCTGCGCTTACAGCGCGGACCCTACTTGGGATTCTCTCTCTCGGTGCCTCCCCCGCTCTCACTGTCTCTCTCTCTCTCGAAATAAACCTTAAAAAAAAGAGCAAGGGGTAGGGGGCAGAGGTAATGTGGAGGGGAGAGTGGAGGGCAGTACTTCTGCTGACCCGCTCCCCCGAGGGCCAACAGCAGCCTTCGGTCCTGATGGTTCACCCTTGGTCCTCACAGATTCTCCAGCTGTCCACCCAGGGCTCCTGCACATGTCCCCTTCTGGTGTCCCAAGACCCTGTGGCAAGCCACCAGGCAGCCAAGGCTGAATTACTCCCTCCTTTGCGTTCTGATCAGTGTTCGATTATTTTCCCTATGTGAGGCTGCCTTCGAGGGACTTCCCGCTCCGTTTCCTCCCCTGTCTCCCTATCCCGCAAGAGATAACCTATGAGATAGGAACCGCGCCGGGTGAGCCAGTGCATGCACAGAGCTGGTCCTTGGTGCATGTCTGACCCCTGCCTTCTGCCCCCTCTGAGAGGGTCACCTGCAGTTCCCTGCCCCTCTACCGTCTGTCTCCCTTTTTATCCCCTAGTGTTCAGTTCCCTGGACATGTCCCGCTCCGTGTCAGTGACGACCGCTGGCCAGTGCCGCCTCGCCCCGCTCATCCAGGTCATACTCGACTGCAGCCACCTGTATGATTACACTGTCAAGCTCCTCTTCAAACTCCACTCCTGTGAGTACGCCCGGCCGGATGTCTCCGTGCGCTGCGGGTGGGAAGGGGGGCCGCAGCCTGAGGCTGTCCCTGGAGAAAAGCAGTCCCCTCGGTGCCCTTTCTGCTGCTGCTCTCAGAGGCCCTCGAGCTCCTGACCCTCTTGAGTGTGGAGAGAGCAGGGTACAAGCTTTGCTGTGCCCCCTCGCCGTAGGGTTCCTAGGATGGTCCTCTCCCTCCACCTCTGGCTTCTCTGCACCTCCGTCCATACGTGTTGTGTATTCTAGGACCCACACAAATGATGCCAGACCCAGTCTAGACCCACAGGAGCAGGGGCACAGTGGTTTCCAGAGTGGTACAAGTGGCATTTTGTGGGGAGATAAAAAATATAAAACAGAGCTGCTCTAGTAAACAGAGGCACAGATCCCTGGGATGCTTTTTGCGGGTTGTATTTTGGAAACTGCCGGTCTTGTAGATGTTCTTTTTTTTTTTTTTTTTTTTTTTTTT